TTATGGTCATTTTAGGGGCTGTAGTTTGTCCTGGTTTTAAATTGTATTATATACCGAGACCATCCATTGAAATAACATCAGGTCTTAAGTTCGGTTTTGCATGATTGTAAAGTTCATATCTGGATTGTTGGTTGAACAAAACAAGATATCTGAAAACATCACTTTAGGCTCTGTGAACTTCAAATAGAAATTTTCCACAGTTGACGTTATACAGATCAGTGTTCCGAAAACATGGGCCAGACACAGCCATTAAACAGGCTGAGGGGTTTGGCCTCTTGCAGTTCCAAGAGAACCAGAATCATTCACAGCGACATAAACTGATAAAATGCAGGCAGTTCAACTAATCTGGTAAATTGCATTTTTTTCTTCATAAATACTTACACCAATCAAACTGACAGTGGAATACTTTTTCTGTCAATGTTTACTCAACTAATCACTTCCCAACACCCTAAGTTTAAAAAGTCCCTTCCACAGATTTTTCTCAAAGAAATATCTCCACAAACCCGCTATTGACATTGATGCTATTAATATTCAAATTATCTGCATCTGAAGAGTTCTAGCCCACCAGCTCTGTCAAAAACCAATGAAAAGCCATCTCATCCATGTCATGTGTCTGAGTTGATATTGTGGCTCCTTTGGCACAGACTGTAGTGGTGCCATCCAACAAGGAAAAGAGGCAAATAGCCCAGTCTTAATACTCATCCAAGACTACAATGCATTTAACAGAAGCCCTAAGGGTCTCACTGAGTGAATAAACCACAAACATGCATTCCTCTGCAGGAAAATGCACAGCAGCCACACAGAAAAAAAAAAAAAAGATTAATTGATAGAGGAGGAGAGGAGACAGCTCTTTCTGGAGGAGAGGGGTTGGAAGAAAGGGGAGAGGAAGGGAGGAAGCCAGGGAATGAAAGGATGGCTGGCAGGCCAAAGTGTTAAAGAGGGGAGACAAAACCCTGGCTTCAGTCCCGAAAGAAAGAAAAGGCGAGGATTTCACCAGATGATGGACTGAAGGAGGGAGGGAGGCATGAGGATTAGGGCAAAGAAAAGCAGCAGGGACAGGGAATGCCTCCCATTGTAATGATGATGTTTTCTAAGAAATGTCCCAGCCTACCTACCCTTAGTATTTCTACAACCACTTGGATATTCATCACCAGTCATTATAACGCTGCAGTTTCTGATTAGGGATGTGCTGTCTGAATGGCGACCTGACTGCTTGGCTTCATTCATGTTTATTCGCCCTCCACCACAAGTTATTCCCTGTGACAAATATACCGCAAATCAGGTCACAAGACAGGATTGTAGGAGTTTTTGACACGCAAACAGTCAGGCGTTTGAGTAAAGAAGTTGTTTTTGTTGTTGTTGCAGCAAATCATTTTTAATGTTAAGCTAAGGTACCGCTCCTCCACTCAGAAAATATGGATAAAAGATTGCCTTTCATCTTTTGCCACAACGTTTATATCACATTAAATAATTTCACTTTTACTGTTTTAGCTTTTTCTTATTTTGCATGCAAACCACACAGTTCTTTTTCTGCTAAAGGGGAAGAAAAAAAAATCTCTGCAGCTCACCCGAAGTCTTGGTCCATAGACTTGAAGAAGAATTTGTAGTTTGGTTTGTTCAAGACCTGTTTAAAATCCAACAAAGTTATATTTTCGGCAGCAATGGGTATCTTCACCAAATACGGCGTCTCCTCTTCGTCTATGTGATAAATTATTTTGGTTTCCGCCATTTCTGCGTTTGCTTTTACCCAACCTGAAAAGAAACACACTATGAGGCGAGGTAGCGTTAACTTTGTTGGGTAGTTAGCTAGCGGAGCTAGGAGGCTAACGAGACGGCAGAGGTGAAACGATGATGGCCACTGAGATTTTCAGCCCGAGCCAGAGGACGTAAAGCGTTAAAACCCTGCTCGATAGTTCGTTCTCCGACTTCACGACGGTTAAAAAAAAAAACTCGCATTCCCCCTGTTACCGAGGGGTGAAAAAACGACGGACACGCTACATTCACACGACCTAACTACCAACAACTTTTCCCCCAACAAAAACATTCAGGGGAGGGGGTCTGAAACTTTTCACCACTTGTTGCGAGCCAACGCGGCGTGTGACGTCATTACGTACCCCCTTCTTCTTTACGTACGCTCAGAGCCTGGCCCCCACAGCCCCGAGCATTTTTATTACACAGATAAATCACTTTTGTTAATGTCTCTCTGTTAAAAGTCAAGTTATTGCTTTTTAAGCGCATTTTTTAAAAACACTCGTTTTGCCAAAGTGCGTTCCATTACAGAAAAAAGATTATCAGAATCAGAAATACTCTACTGAGGAGAAATTGCTTGCAGTTGCTCCCATTCAAAGTGTTAAAAATATTAACAGTACAACAAATTTATAGATAAACATAAGTAGAAAAATGTGGCCTAAATGATATAAACACAAGTAGAAAAAGTAAAATGTAAAATGTGCATTTTCTAAGGAAAGAAAATATAATTATACAGTGTAATAAATATTGTGTTGTTGCATGGAGATGTGTAATTATTGCATATTATTGAGTGGTTCCTTAAGAAGTGAAGTGAAGCATTCTGATTTACTTGACAACTTTAAATACTGAGGTCAAGACCCTACAGTTTTTACTTATTGTGAGTTTACCTGAGTAATTTAAATAATCCTATCGAAATCTGACAACATTATATATAATACAAATTTACTTCACTAAATAAAATGTAAAAATATGATAATATTGAAGTGGTTAAGAAGCTACATAGAATATTATGTATAAAACAGATTAACCTGACTAACCTAAATGTTAATGTTAAGAAGCTATAATATTATATACTCTGACAAATTGCCTGACTAATTTAGAAATTAAATTTAAGATTCTACAAAGTTATACACTGAAAAACCCAGTGAATCTAAAGAGTCCTTGTGAGCAAGTACATTGACAATGGAGAGGAGCAAGTCCCTTAAAAAGGTGGAAACCTCCAGCAGAAGCATGCTAAGGGAGGGCAGCCCTCTGTCTCGACCACTTAGAGTAAAGAGGAGAGAAAAAAGGATAGCAGAAACACACAGACAAAGAACAAGATAATCTAAATACTGGAAAGGTTGGTGAGACCAGTATCAACAGATCACACCTGTGGAGCTCCAGAGCCAGAAATACCTGCAGAGAGGCACACAAAAAGAGCACAGAAAGGACAAAAGCAAAAACTACAGGAGAGAAAAGACACAACATTAACAGCATACACTAGTGCAAATGTGTAAATGCATGGAGGAGGTGAGAAGTTGAATTGAAAACTAAACACATGCAAAGACAACCATATGAACAGGAGAGCCAAGGTAAAGCATGTAGGGTATTTCTTTTGTAAAAAAAAAAAAAAAGAAAAAAAAAGAAAGGTAGAAATGTAAAAGTCAAAATGAAAACTGTTTGAAATCAGACAACTTATCAATTTAGCTTTCTGTGGTTTTATTGAATGCTCCCTTTGAACAACTTTTATTGCTTTTATCTCAAATGTTATTTGATGGCCGTCAGTTTCATATGTTATGCAATCATTCATTCCTTTATTCAGCTTCAAATCCAATGAGGTATGGAGGTTGCCTTTACAGTTTAGCTGAATAAGAAATTAATTGGAACACAAAGCAGAAAAAAACTTGACAAAGTTAGTAAAATAATAATAAAAAATAATAATGAAAGAATTCACAATTTAAAAACAACAGCAACAACATAAGAAGAAATTAGAACCCTGATTTCCCTTAGTGAGTAAAACTGGATTTTATAAGTTCAATAAAAACAACAGGCACCTAAAACATCATTCAAGTGTGTATGATAAAAGCCCACATTAGGAGACTGCAATGTACGAATGTAAGGGAGTTAAAAAAGAAAAAAAACCCCAGTAAAGTACTTGTAAAGAAAAAAAGGCCCCGTTTTAGACGGAGAGAGGGACACCTAACCTTAGCCTAAAGCTCACAGTGATGAGAATTATAATTAACACCAGTAGTAAGACAGAATCATAAATCCAAGGCTTAGGATTAACGAGGGATGCATGCTTGTGTAAAATGACCCCATATTTAAACAATGATAGAAAAGTTGTAGAGGAAATCATGATTTATTACTTTAAAAGAAAACCAAATTTAAAAAAAACGAATCTCAGCTTCTCACTGGTTCAAGTTCGAATACATTTGTAAAATATTTGATCAGCGATGGTTGATTAGGGCGTGTTTGACATGATTTTATAGATGAATAAACCAAAACTCTACCCTTGAGAAGCCCAAATACCGCGATGGAATGGATTGCAAATGTAGCAGGCGATATTCACTGTGAAAGCCTCAAGGCAGGGTCTGTGTAGTCACATGTCTTGTTTGTCTTGGTTTGGCTTCAGAGGGAAAATAAGCACAGTAAATGTTATTGCATAATTTGGTGATTTATCAGATGATTACAAGAAGCACTCAGTTGGGATCCACAAAATATTTTTTGTCCAGGGCTGCTCCATCCCCAGGGAAAAAGAAAAATAAGTGCACATACTTTTATTTCCTACCTTTGTATTTAGAATCAAACTGTTCACGTTTGCGTAGAACCTCTTTTAATTTTGAATCTAATTTAGTGCCTTTCAGGAAATGCATCTAATCACCATTAAGGAGAACAGAAAAGATCCACCCAACCCAATTAAGACATAAGTAAATTATTTTACGTGGCCTATTGCCAGATTCAATACAACTGCCTTTCAAAAACTATTATCTACAGCATTGTTTTGAACGAGGCTTTCTGTAGGTAATTGCATTTCTTATCCAATAAAGAGCCTCTAGGATGAGGAAATTACATTGCTTATCATGTAAATTGTTTTAAATGCCCTGGGGCTCAGATAAGATGTAATGTGTAATGTTTGTCGTGTTTTACATCACAAGGGCAAAAGGGAGGAAGTTAATGCAATTTAGGAGGGAAAAAATACATTTACGCTCTCCAACAGGCGCCTTTATTTATTGTTTTCTGTGTTTTTCTCAATACACCTGACACAGAGTAAATGTGTTAGGAAAGCCAGTTTTATTCGATTTATCCATTGGCAGAACAGTCATCAGCTGGATAGTAATAATATTAACAAGCATAGTGACATTCAAGCAGGCATTGAGATAAACAACATGAATGTTAAGGAAAAAAACAAAACCTTAAGGACAATGTTGAGTTTTTAAAAATTATAAATATTACAAGTATAATTCATCCGTTTCGAAACAAACCACTAGAGGGACCTCTTCATCAGTTCATCATTGATGAAATAGGAGTAAATATGCAGTACAGTGAGGATAAGTGGGCTATTCAATAATAAATAAAAGCAGAGTTTGACTTAACTACTGGGTAAATAGCAAGTATATTAGTTAGAAGTACCTTCATAAAAACACAACTGAAAAAGATTGTCTTTTATACTCCCTAAAATGTTATGTCTGCTTTCTTTTTATAGTGTTTTCCTGCAGAGTGTATCCAGAGTTATATCTGCTATAAAGAGGAGGTCAATCCTGTTTTCTATTAAAGATTCCTGTTCAAGAAATGTGGCCCGAAAACTACTCCGACCACGCAGGTGATCACAAACAGCACCCAGAAGATGACTGCCAGGAGTTGCACACAAAACAGCGTCCTCTTGCTCTGCTGTATGACTTCCTCTTCTCCCACCAGGCCTGGCGCGGTGCCGTACGGCCTGTCCGGGTGCATCTGCTGCACCCGCAGGCTGACGGTGGGCAGGATGATGAAGCGTGTTTCCCTGCTGTTGCCCTCCAGAGACAGCACCACTCTCTGGGTGACCGTGGCCAGACGGGTGGCCATGTTCACGGGCAGGCGGAAGGCCACGGGGGGCAGCCTGGCCAGGATGCGGGAGTTGCAGGGTAAGGTGAGGGCGTCTCCAGTCTCCAGCGGGGTTAAATGGCGGCAGAGGGGGCAGGGGATGGCTGGGGGGCTGTTGGTGTCAGGGGGTTCGCAGGGGCAGAGCTGGATCCTCTGGAGGCACTCGGTGCAAAAAACATGGAGGCACTCCAGCATCCGGGGGCATTTGTTGTACTGGTTGTACTCCTGGTAGCAGATGGGACACTCCACATCCATGGCCTCCCCTGGGCTGTTACTGGGTGCTTCAGCAGCTGGGTCCCCCTGCTGGGGAACTGGGACAACATCTCCTGTCATAGTGGGAAGCGAATTGTGAACTCCGTGATGGGAAGAGGGCAAGTTGTGGACAAACCTTTACCAACAGATGGTGAGATCTGTAAAAAGAAAACAGCTTCAGGTCTACTTTTGTAAGATTAAAAGAACTCCAGAGGTTTAAATTGCTTTTATACAACAGGATTTGCTCTCCCAGGGATGCTGCTTTGTTTCGTCTAAGTTTTATGAACAGATTCCAGAGCTCATGAGTCATAGCATTCATCCATTTAACCACTCAGACATCCACCCCCCTGATCTACTCACAACCACCTCAGCTCCACATAGAGTGCGCTGGACTGCATGACACAAACTCAAGAGCATGCCCAGAGAGTTAGGAAATAAAAAAGTGAAAGAAAAAAAAAAGAAAACGAGCCATAAAGGAAGTAATAACTCATTGTAGGACTTTCCCCACATGTTCATGTGTGTGTGAGCACGTCCGTTTTTTGTCATTTAAAGGGGATTTTATTGAGCGAATGGTGTAACAGTATCAGCAGTTGCTCCTTTGGTGTGTCTGAGAGGCGAGATTGGGTTGTAATCTGAGGTGAGGGTCTGACAACAGTACTCAGCTGCATAATGGGAGATGTTGGTTGGTTGAACCTTAGTTCAGACTAAAAGTAAGAATGTGCCAGTTTCTGCTGCTTTGATTTGGACTATTTTGCCTTCAAGTTTGTTTCACCTCCCACATCTCTGAATCCATAATGTCTTGTGTGATGTAAATTTTGTCATCTTCTGCGTGGGACTTTGTGCAGAGCCTTGTATATGCTACCAGGGCAGTATTGTGCAGATTGGTCTACTGCGCATGGATAGAACTGAGCTTTCCAAGCAGACTAGAAAGTATTAGGGTAATAACAACTATGCAGATGACCGCGTTTGCGTCTGCAAGGGAGTATAATGAAGGTCTACGTCTAAGAACATATCGAAGAACACCTGGAGTGACCCTTTGAAAATGAAGGCAAACTGAGTTTAAATGCAAACTGCTGATCCTGGTAGTCAAAGATTTTAGGATAGCATACCCCCAAAAATGAAAGATGCATTGAAGGTAAAGTAATTATGAACAGATCACGTTTTGGGAAAAGTTAAATGAGGAAGATCGATACCACTCTCTTCAATTTAAAGCTACAGCCAGTCGCTGCTTAACAGTTAGTCTTGCTTTCTCCAAAACTAACAAAATAAACCTACTATCAACAGCTCACCAGTTAACACGTTTTACATTTCAGTTCCTTAATCCGTACAAAGATCAAAGTGTAACACAGTTTCAGGTGCAGAGCCAGACTAACCTTTACCTATTTCTTGTCTGTATGCTAAGCTAATATGCTACTGGCTGCATCTTTATAGTAAACACACAGATAAGAGAGTGGTATCCTGCGGTGGAAGACGTGTTTAGATGCTTTGACCCAGGAAAAGTGTAAATACCACAGTGTAAAAATATTCCGTTGCAAGTAAAACTCCCGCATGAAAAAAGGTGCCAAAGTAGAAGTACATAAGTATGAGCAGTTATGTGTAGTAAAGAAAAAATACAGGTTTTATACCTCTGACTGATATATGATTGAATATGACACAATTTGATTATTAACACTGAAGCATCAGTGTGTAATCAGTATTTTACTTTTGCAGGTGGAGTCAGTTTGAACTATTGGATGATAATAGTAGAGAGAAAAATATGAAAAACAAAGTTCGGATCCACAAATCTGTTCACAGTTTTTGGACTCCAGTCTTTGATTTGATGAGATGATTTTTTTTTAAAATTGAACTATTTGAGATGGGTTTTTTTTTGTTTTTTTTAACAGACATGGTTTTGTGCTGTTAACAACTCATAGACACCTGAAATGTGACTCCGACTGCACACTTTTTTTTTGTAAGAAGTCAAAAAAAAAGGATGGACAAATGTAACAGAGTAGAAAGTAAGAAATGTAGTGTAAACATAAAGTTGAATAAAATGGAAATACTCAAGTACAAATTGCCTAAAACTGTACCAAAGTAGAGTTCTTGTGTGAATCAGCTTTGCCTTTTTCCACCTCTATTGCATCAATCTTCATTCAAACTCTCCATAAGAAAACAGAACTTTTTTTTTTCTGCTTATTTGAGATGTACAAATCATCTAATGAGATGAAGTTACACTCTAAATTTTCATTCGGGGCACAACACTACCATTTAAATGTCTGTAGATGATGTGATTTACAAAACAAAGCGTTAAATTTGCTTTACTCTGCTTTCTCGTCCCTGTAACCTGCTCACATGGGACACCTGCACGGCCACTCATGGGGGAACTGTTGCTTAGCAGATGTGACCTCCTTTGTGTTGGTTCATGGCAACATATAGCCTGAAACCTTTTCTTTTAGAAGTCGACAACACGTTGATGCAAGCGGTGGCAAACAATCAGATACTACACAATTTAAAATGAGCATTTTTGTTCATTAAAAACTGCAATGTACAAAATGACAAGCTCTGATGGAGGCATGTTGAAGCCAGCACTGAATATGCTCCTTAATGAATGAACCCTTTTGTAGGCCAGGGGTTTCATTGTGATTGTAAAGTGAGAATGTGGCAGCGCTCCATCATTACACACTGTAAAACAGATACAAGAGCCACTTACCGACTGCACAGCCCTTTGATCAGAGCACACTTTCGACCCCGGTGCTTTCCTTAACCCACTTACACACAGTTCTCCTCATGCCGGTGCAGATCTCATCCTGGCAGAGTGTTTTCCTCCTCCTTCTGTGCACACATGAACCACTCAAGTTTCTATCTCGATATTCCGTATACGTGTCTGAGCTTGGCTTACCGGCAAATGCTCTACCTTAACCTGATTTTACTCGTCCTGATCTCTCTGTCAAATTCCCCCATGAGGCATCTCTGTGGCTTGCTCAGCAGTAATTAAACCCTTGGTGATGTGACGGTAACCAGGACACACAAGACAGAAAATGACAGATTGGAGCCTCTTGATCGTGACTTACACTTCTCCACTTGCATATTATGTTATTACGATTCCTCACAATCAGCATGTTGGCGTTGCGAAATAGCAAGTGTGAATTGAGGGTGTAATTATTAACATGCTCACATTTTTCTTCCTTTAAAGGGGGAATCAAAGGTCTATTAAATGCACGTTTCAGGTGTCTGCGCAGAATAAAATGAGCAGTAAAAGTAAATAAGTTACAGGAGTTTACGTGTATCTACTCAAAGCAGGAGAAATGCTTCTCTTAAGCGTAAAAAAAGGTGAATTATTGACAGATGAAAAGTCACAGTTTGTCCTGTGCAGGTGTGTTATTTTCAATGCAATTAAAAGTCTGAGTAAACAAAGCAATAAAAACATTATTAATTAACTTTGCCTACTTTGGATTTGGATTAGCTGCAAACACTGTCAGGGTGGTAAAGTAAAAAACAATATTTAACCTCGATAGCTATTTGGAAAAAAAAAAAGAAATCACTAAAAAGACAGATTTTTAGAGCGCGAAACTAAAAAAAAACAAAAAGAATGGTTGGATACTTGGTTAATTAAATGTAACCAAATCAACAAAAAATGTGATATTTCATCTAAATCATTTTAATGTTAATGTGTCATTTAAAAATTTGCCATAAACAAACAAAATTCAGCGTTCCTTGGTGCAGCCGTGAAGCCTCTAGTTATTCAATTGCAACCAGCAATCGCATTAACCCAAAAAAAAGCTGTTTTATTGCATGAAAGTCTGTGCGTACACAAAGCAGTCAGAAGACGAGTGTGGCAATAAATTAAATATGTAAGTGATAAAATATCTATAGTATACAGAGTCACCATTTTCTCTAGTAGAGGCTGGACCTGTGGGCACTTGAAAACAAATTGCATATGTTGATTACAGGTTTTTTAATTTTTTGTAAGATAAATAATCAAAGAATGCAAGTGTAGTTTTATTTTTTTTAAATATATCATTTTCTGGCAATTTTAACTGTTGTTCTGCACATAAGACATGTTTGAGTCCTTACCTTCTAGTCACTGTTTCCATAGAGGTGCAGGACTTTATACAGCACTAGAAAAATGAGCAAGAAAAATATGTCATGAGCAAAAAAACACCCAGAAACTTCAGGTTCAGAGGGTTATAGGTCCATATCAAGATAATATTACTAGAATACTTACATGACCTTGTGCAGATTGGCGTCTAGAAGAGCTTCAATACCCCTTCTTCCAAAAGATGGCCCCTCAGTTGGTGTGTTGATGATGGCGTTGGAAAGCACTGGCGATCAGAAATCTCCCATTGAACTGCAGGTCTACTGACTGCAAAGGTCGCAGCACATGATTCCATTCTCATCGAAGCATTCTGCGACGCCTCTTTCCCTATGGATGGTGGCATCGTCACCCTGGAAGAGGTCGCTCTAATCAGGCTTGAAATGTTTCAACACAGGATGAAGGTGATTGTCTAAAACAGCTTTGTATTGATTTGCAATGACTCTTCCCTCGAAGGGATCGAAACCGTGAAAGCGAAATGCGCTCCAAAGTAGTATAGCAACTGGATCTCCTCACTGTAGTGGTCAAGTATTCAGTTTTTACAAATTCTATACATTCTTGTTTGTGCACTTTTACTAAAGTTGACTGTATCTTAATTTACTTGTGTACTAAATATGCTATCAAATTACAACTGCTGTGTTAAGACAGACCTTATTCTTTTAGTTTACAGTATTTTTTTTTCTTTCCTTTTTTTTAAACAAGACTGTTACTTGCAGGAATGCAGATGTGAGAAAGATTTCGGCTTGTGCAAAGAAGGTCACGGGTTTGATTCGTTGCCAACAGAGCTTTCACGTGAACTGCTCCAAATAAACAATGGTAGTAAAAAAAAAAAAATGAACCTATGCCTATTCTTTGAGAACAAAATGTTTTGAACACCTGAAGGAAATATCTTCAAATCTGGCACTCAGGGATGAACTGTTAAAAGTTGGCAGCTAAACGTCAAAGTCACTTTGCCGTCACAACAGTGTGGGATGTGGTACGGGCAGTTCTCTTCTGTGTTATTCTTTTGTTTCTGGTTTGTCCTCATTTGCCCTCTCTTGCCTGGGACTACGCGCCACCTGACACACCTGAGAATTATCTACTAGTCATCTGCTGCAGCACTTTAACTCTGCTCCAGATTGTTCTGCCTGGTTTCCAAAGCAGAATCATCAGCCAAACTCTGCTCACAACAGTTACTCTTTTGCTTACAGTTTAACCTACATTTTCACTGTGCCTCCGTTTCTAGTCTTTTCCAGTCATGTCCTAGTCAGTTTATCCCACACTACCAAGCTCCAACCTGCAACTTGGCGGAAAACCCCGTTCACCAACTCCATCTCAAAACAATCAGCGATCAAGCACCACGCACTTTAAAATTTCCCACTTCTCAGGATTCTCAAGCCTGGTTTCCATCTCCATCTTAATGACTGTACAATACAACCTGCAGAGTCTTTGCACTGAATTTGGGTCAAGAAAAACCACTGGTCATATCGCTTTTAGGTGACGAGGTGTGTCAGAAAAGTTCCAGGACTGGTGTCACAAACGATATATTTCAAACCCAAACTACAAACTACGAGTTTTCCCCTTCAGATGATCAACCAGCACGTCTACAAAGAGATTCACTTGCTTTGCTCAGTGCACGAGAAGAGGCGTGAGTTGTGGCAGGACAAGTCGTAGCTGCTTCACCATGACAACCCGCCTACTCACAATGCCCGGAAAAGTTCATGGCTGACAAGAACATCACCGTGCTGGAGCAACCTCCCTACTCACCCCACCTGGCTCTGTGGGAGTTTTTTTCCTCTTTCCCAAGCTCAAGGGGGTCATCAAGGGGACCCGTTTTGAAGGCATGGACGACATCAAGATGGTTGTGATGACAGAGCTGTGGAGGATCCTGGAAGAATCCTTCCAGGAGTGTATGACGGCGTTAAGGCAGAGAAGGCTGGGAAAGTGTGTTAGACTCCAGGGGGATTACTTCGAAGGGGAAAAATCATAGTTTGTAGTTTGAAATATATCTTTTGTGACACACCTCTTAATGATGAAGAGATGGCATTTAAAATGGAATGGGTCAAAGGTCAAGTCTGAACAAGAATGAATGTGAAGTGTGAAGGCATTAAACAGTTTGTAGTTACATTAGTGTACATGTAACTCATTTAGATGTAATTAGTAGGAGTTAATACCCTAAAGTACCCTCCTAACAACTGATAGAAAACATAAAATTTTTAATTGTGTTTACTCAAGGGAATAAAACAACCCTACACTTGTGAATGGACTGACTGAATTACGAAGTGTTCAATAAGAGAACCTAGTATATCATACTGTAACTATTGAAACAGTACTTACAAAATACTTCACTAAAAGTAAAACGAAGTAACAGTCGCTCAACGGTTTCACTAGAAACTTATCTATTATCTCTTATCTCTGAGGGATCTATTCTTTTTTTTCCCCATCATTCAGGTTCAAACTGGTATTTTGCATGACCAAACACCCTTACAGTAAGTCCAACACACGGAACAAAGGCGGAAAGGCCTAAAATGAACAACAAAAGACTGTACAACCAGAGAGACACAGAGAGGGAGAAAGAGAGCACTTGTGAGTTTGTGATTGTTGGCACAGATTCCAGCGGAAATCACCATGAAAGGAGTTCTGGCTGGAACAACTGATAGGAGAAGGAGGGTTATGCGGGGATTACGAACAACGAAGGAAGAGCTGACGTCACTTAAACACACACAACCACGCTCCGGGAGAGTCGGTGTGGGCGGGGAGGTGTCACACATCTGAGATAAGGTCACAGAGAAAGGACAAAAAAAAAAAAAAGACCTACTTTTCTGGCAGATGAAAAAGAAGCGTATCAAACAATATAAATGAATCACTTTCTAATGTTTAATGAAGGATATGTACACACTTAAAACCATTTAAATGACCTATAGGAACGATAAACTGTGCTGCTGTCATTAAAATATAGACACTGAAAACACTTTTACTCAACTTTTTTGGTGTAAAAACCTCAAGATATCTCTCTCAATGTGAAGTTATGGAAACAATACTTTTTTTATGTATTAATTGTCTCTAATTTAAGAAATACATTTACAGTATTAAACTTTAAAAAACTATTTAACAATTTAATTTATTAAATAAATAAAAAGGAATACTTGTAAAGTGACAATAAATGTCAGTCTGTTGTCAAAAAAATGTCAATTTTCTTTGAAAAAAATACATTTTAGCTACAGATTT